CCCAGCAGGGGAATAGCTGGGTCAAATGGGACCTGTAGCCCTAGTTCTTTGAGGTATCTCCATACTGATTTCCACAGTAGTTGCACCAGTCTGTACTCCCACAAACAATGGAGAAGGAGTCCATTCTCCCCACATCCCCACCACCATTTGTTATTGGTTGATTTCTTGATAGCAGTGGCTGCACCTTTATGTGCTCGTTTTCTGGCCAAACTTTAAATTTTTCAGTTCTTTTTGCTCTGCTCCTCTGTGCTCTTGATTCTCCCTGTAAGTTTGGCTAAAAGGAGCCAATAATACCCATGTCAATGCCTGAATGCTGTGCTGCCTTGAAATTTCCTATACCAGTTTAATTAGTTCATCATCTTTAAGGTCAACTTTCCCCCAAATTCCAAGGCATGGATGGACAAAATGTAGTCAGATTCTTTGCCACAGTGGAACAGGGGTGGCCTCTTGTTCAGCTTTCAGTATAATCCTCATTTCCAGCCGAATCTTCAGCATAGCCTTTACCGTTCACATTCCTAATGAGCACTCTAATCTCTGCACCCTCATTTGAATTTCCCATTTAAGTTCTGCTTATAGCATTTGCTGTCTCTAGTCTGTTTCTCCAAGCCTTTCCAATTTCCTCCTGAAAACCAATTCCAAAAGCTTCTCCACATTATCTCAGGTATAGAAACAGCTACCTCAGTTCTTGGTAGCAGTTTTCTGTGTCAGCTTTCTTTCACTGTAACGAAATTCCTTAAGCAATCAGTTTATAAAGAGAAGAGGTTGGGCCAGGGATTTAGCTCAGTGGTTCCAGTGCCTGCCTCGCAAGCACAAGGTCCCGAGTTCGATCCCCGGTACCAAAAAAAAAAAAGAGGTTTATTTTGGCTCACAGTTTTGGGAGTGTCAGTCCATGATCTGGTGGACCCTTTGCTTTGGGGCCTCTGGTGGTGGCAGGGTGGACAGCATATCATGGCAGGAGTGTACGGCAGTGCAAAACTGGTCATCTCATGGTGGGGAAGCAAAAAAGGAAAAGGAAGGGGCTGAGGTCCCCAAATTCACTTTAAGAGCAGGTCCCTCAGTGACCTAAAGACTTCCCATTAAGTACTTCACAATAGACCAGGGACTAAGCCCAGGGCCTTTGTGGAACATTCTAGATCCAAACTGTAGTAAGTGGGTATTTTTTTAGCCCACTATTCCTAATTTTTTGATGGAAATTATACATTTGCCCAGTGGGGTTGTCCTGAACTTTATATTTTCTTTTGGACACTGTAAGAAATTCTACCACACTGTGGATAATACAAAAAAACAAAAAAAATGTTCTGTGTATTTATATGGGACTAGGGGATGATAAGAGATTAGCATCCCTGTAATAAAACAGGAAGGTATCAAAAAGGTCCTTCCTGCCATAAAATCTACTTTCTGATACCTAATACAATCACTCAAATGTAAAATGTCATTGTCCTCATCACGATGATGACAGGCCACTCATTCTGTGGGACAGAATTGGGCACACATAAAAGTTACTTTGTTCAAGGAACATTGATATACATAACACTGCTGTTTTGTTTCCAAGGAACCCTAGCTCTGGGCTGATCTGCCAGGAAGTTATAATGGAAATTTGTCTTTGTTATATCCTTGCCCAGTGTCTATCCCCGTTTGTCCTTGTGTTTAGAGACTACTCCACCTGCTGTAAGTCTTAAAAGGTAGGTCAAATGCACATGAGAGTGAAAAAAAGCTAACGAAAAAGCTAGGCTGTGAACAGTTCATCCTGGAGATGATGCTGCAGCTGCATCTTTTCGAAGGGGCAGCAGTGTTGACTCAGCACCTCCTGCCCCACTGCTTGCATCCAGTGATAATGATAGAATCTGTTGCATCATGTACCTGTGGCCTCACACCATCCCCTGTCCTGCCCATTTTCTGAGTCTGGTTGTCTAGGTTTTCTGGGGAAATCTGTGAGATGCCAAAAGACTTATTCAACTCTGCAGTGTAAATCAGCCAAACTCTTATTTTTGTTCCTAAAACTAAGCAGCAGACTTTTATAGAGATGTTGCTCCATACTTATGTAAGGCTTTTCATTCATTCCATAGACCCTGGGCATCATCATGAGCTACAGAACTCAGCACAAGAGAATCATAGGTTGAGCAGGTGGTGAAATCTTGGACTCAGCCAGGTTCCACTGTGCCTGTAACCCATCGTACACCCTCTGTGTAAGGACAACCCTGTCCTCCATCCCTGTCCTCCAGTGCTCCAAGTTCTGGAGCCATATCCAGCAGTAGTAGGTGCTCAGGAGGTTTTGAATCCTTCTTCAAGGAGTAAAGGAATCAATGAAAATACTGAGTTGTTGCCTTTGGGCTCAGAGCTCAGTGTGACCTCTGTTGTTCTTACCCCCTATTTTATAAATTACAGATATTTTTCCTTCTACATTTGCTTTTAACTTTGCATTTTCTTTTTTTCTTTCACTCTGTTCATTCTTGATCACAACTGTTCTTCCTACAGGAGGTTCCCTGCCTTGACTAGAGGAGTGTGCTCCTTCCTTCAAGCCCCTCTGGATACGTCCTCTGAGGATCCACCAGGAAAGATGCGGCAGCTCAAAGGAAAACCCAAGAAGGAGACGTCAAAGGATAAGAAGGAGCGGAAGCAGGCCATGCAGGAGGCTCGGCAGCAGATCACCACGGTGGTGCTGCCCACACTGGCTGTGGTGGTGCTGCTGATCGTTGTGTTCGTGTATGTGGCGACACGCCCCACCATCACAGAGTGAGCCCTAGACTCCTCAGGAGGGGAAGGGGAAGCAAAGGAAAAATGGCTTTCATATGCAGAGATGTTCTTGATGCTGAGCTCTGAGCAGGAGCACTCCTGTCTTCTCTGGTCTTCAACTTGATTAAAGTTTCTCCACTTTTCTTGGGAGGGAAGAGGGAACTTTTTATCAGTGAACGTGCCATACACCTTATGGTCCACTTCATGTGCCTTTCAGACTTCAAAGCTGTGTGTGTGTGTGTGTGTGTGTGTGTCCGTCCGTGTGTCCGTGTGTCCATGTGTCCATGTCCGTGTCCGTGTCCGTGTGTCCCCGTGTCTGTCCTAAAATCGGTATGTAGCTCTTCCTGGTGAGAGGAGGCCTCTCTAGGTCATGAAGCAGTTGGAAGTAATGCTCCCCTCATCCCCATTGTCTGGAACATGACTCTCCTCTACTTGTTCACAATTTCCAAAGGGACTATATTTCTTTTCTGCTTAATGTGATTTGAAATATGTTGATTCAAAGTGAAATATTTATTTTTTGAATAAAGGATATACTGGTCTTAAACTGGGTGTTTATCATGTTTTGCCAAAAGGTGCTGGCTGGTTGTGGGGTCCCTTTCCTGGGCATTGGCCCTTTCTCCACTTTCCTGTCCCAGAGGCTTTTCTCTACTTCTCTTCTTCCCTGCTGTTCAGTACTTTCAGGAAAATGATGCTTTTTGATTGGATCATTGTAAGACTGAGGGAGGGAATCTTGAGAGGGGCAGAAAGTGAGTGTTAATTGATTTGTTTTAGAAAAGTGAGAGTTCTAATTGGAATATGACCAAAGTGCTTTTGCCCCAGTTAGCCTTTCCTACTTAAATACTGCATTTGCAAACACAACACAAAGTGGTCCTGGCATAAAGGTCAGGCTTGGTTTTATTCTTAACTGAAAGGATGCAAATTGTTGGCATTTCAGCTGAGTTTTCAATGCACATTGGCCATGCTGGACAGGCTGCCTCATTTTATTCTAGCAGCATGGTTCCTAGGTCCTGATTCCTGATGGAGCAGCCTTTTTGGAAGTCAGATTTGTGATAACTGAGGGAGTCCCTTTGCTCTGTCATTGCTGATTACAGAGAGATTTGTGGGGAGAGAAGTGCTTTTCTAATCTCGGTGGATGCATGACTTGCTCACTGATGGCAAAGGATGTTGCTTGGGACTTGGGGTCTCTTGGAGTGAGTCTTGCAGGAAGAGGAAAGGAAAGGTGCCAGCTGCTGATGTTCAGACATCCTGAGACTCCGGACTTGCAAGGTTCACAGAGCTCTGGGGAGACTTGGTGCTTCTTTATGTTCTCTCAAGTGCCAGTGGCCCCATAAAGAGGTTTACTAAAATGTTTTATCAAATTCAGGGGCTACTGGCTTAAAATTCCTCTCCTCCCCTTCATTTGGTTTTGTTTTGAGTCTCGGTGCATTTTGGTCTGGGAAAAATTGAAAGCCACTGCCTCAAGGACCTGCTCATTCAGAGATGTGAAGGAAGATTCTGTGGTCATTTTTGGTGTTAACAGTGGCCGCCAGGCTGCTGCCTGTCCCCTTCTCCCAGGGTGCATGCTGAGAAGACAGAGGACAGCCTGTCCATGGTAGGAAAAGCATGGTCAGCATGATGTTTAATTTCTGATTTGCACTTAGCTTGCCCCTCAGAATTGTGATTACCTAACCCCACTAAGCCTCAGTTTCCCTATCTATGCATAACTACTAAAGGCACTTTTAGGGAGGTGACCCATCTAATGAAAAATGAGGTTTTAGAGCAAAAAAATGAGGTTTTATGCAGATTTGCCTGCTGGAATGTCTGAGTCTACTTCATGTGATCTTGCCTCATAGGATTGCTGGGAGGATTAAACTGAAATAATGCCTGCGATGTAGTTACTGCATAAATAGTAATAGTATCTCTATGTTTGTTTTGACTTATTTATTTCTCTCACAACCCTGTGAGGTGTGTATGATTAGTACTCAATTTTATGAACAAGGAAGCTGATGCAGGCCAGGAAACTTGTCTATGTAATTCAGTTAGTAAATGAAGGAGCCCAGGTTTGTTTCTTCTTAAGCTTTTGATACGGAAATTTCAAACATACATAAACATATGCAGTATAACTCCTGTGCTCAGTGACCAGCTTCAGCAAACACCAGTATGTGGCCAGCTTTGTTCATGCATCCACTTGTCCCCTTTACCCAGACATCTTTGTGCACACAAATACAGTGGATTATTTTGAGGCAAAACGAGAAATGGAATTTAAACCCAGAAAGTCTCTCTCCAGAGGCCATGCTCTTTATCAGACAATGGATACGTCTGTTGTTTTCAATGAGTGATAATTTCTTTCATTCTCCTGATCTCAAGAAATCTTTACTACACAGGTGTATTAGAACAGTCTCTTGTCTGGTAAAGTCACAGTGAACAGCCTAATACTCCATCTTCAGATAAATTCAGCCTTCGTACTATCCAGCACAGGGCACAATCTCTGATCTGTTGTTATGTGGGAGAAAAGCCTTGCTTCAGTAGCCATCTAGGAGAAGTATCTGTTCCAAGGGGTCTTGGCTTAGGGGATTTTGAATATGATGTGAGTAGAACATTGCTTTAGAAAACAAAGGCATTTATGAATCCTAAGTCACCCACTTTCTAGCTGAACAACCTCTTGTTAGCCTTCAACCTGAGTTGTAGGTATACCATGTCTAATGAGTAAGGTTAATTTTACTACCTAGAGGATAGTGAGAGGGCACATTGACATATGAAAAGGCCATAACATCATTTGTAGTACAATGTAGATGCTCAATGAATGACTATACCTTCCTTTTCAGTGTGCTCAAAACCTTACAGAACACAAATGAAGGCCTATTTCCCAAGGCTTTACTTGGCAGAGCAACATAACACTACACACTGTATACTAGATCCGCTAGGCGCTTTAGAGTCTCATTTTCTTCACTGTTTTCCTCTTTCTTATCCTTTGGGAGGCCTAGTGGATTTGAACTGGATTTTCAGAAGGCAATTACTAGGCAGGCTTGGTGAAGGCAGGGTGAAAATGGACTTTTAAAGTTAATACAACTTTGATGTGAGTCACCTCCTGGCAAGAATGAGACACCAATTTACTCTGGACTTGCTGGGTGGAATTTTAACAATTCTCATGGTAAATAGTACTCTCATGTAGGTGCACTTGGTAAAGATTTTAGACATGAGTTTCCAAATTATTCCTATTCTGTGGCTTCAAGGGCAAAACTAAATGCTTTATTAAGAATTTCACAAAGTCAAACTGGAGTTTCTGCAGTAGAATCTGGGACTCTTGGCTTTCAGAATCATTACAGAGTCTAACATTTCTTGAAGAGGATATTCCAGAAGAGAAATCTGATTGGAAACAGGAATAGAAACAAGTTGTCCTTGGTTTAAAAGTGTCATTTGATATATTTTTAAAATCATAATACTAAGATGGGTGTGTGTGTACTTGCTCATTCTCTGACCAACCAAAATTTTGATGGTCCATTATTGCAATCTTTGGAAGTATGAGACTGAAAAATTCAGACCTAGTCCAGCTCTCAGAATGTGGCACTTGGCAGCCCCCCCAACCCCACCCCATAGTGTGTTGGGCCATAATCTCATAAAAACTCTTGTATCCCAAAGTGTTTGTGAATGTAGAGTTAACATCCCTATGTGAATGAATAGTCTGTGTAGAACTCAGAGAATCAACAGTTTGAGATAGGAGGACTAAGGAGCCTTGCATACCTCTCTCTGGTCTGCCCAGTGCTCTACAAAGGTAGTGCTTGCTCTGTCTCATTTTCTGAACCTGAGAAGGCAAAGTTCAATCTAATGGGTTCTATAATTTCTTCCCCAAAACAGAAGAGCAAGAAAACTTGAACAGGAAGAAAACTTGCAGCTGGACTTATCTGTAAATTGGAGTGCTAACACTTGTTTTGAGTGGTTGGAAAGATTAAACAGATGATTATCCTTTCTGCTTCCCTTAAAGGATCTCACTTCATTATTTGTGATCATAATAAAGGAAATAAGGAAAATAAGGAATAAGGAAGAAATAAGGAAATTTTTTGAAATTATGGCTCTGAGATTTCTCTGGAGAGGTGTACCATGATATGTGCATACATCCCCTATAGCTCTGCCTTGAAAGTGTCCCCCCATGGTGTGTCTCCAGACTTGGCGTGCCTTACTATGGATGCTGTTTTCTTGTTCAGGAATCATGTTGAATTCTGAACAATATTCTCTACAGAATTTGTCACAGACTATTGCTTAAATGTTAGAAATAAGATAACAGAATCTTCAGATCAAGGAAATACATGAGTGGCTTCTTCTAAATCCCTCCAGAATATCTGTACTAGAATTGGAGAAGGTTCGCATGTCCTTTGGATCCTTGTTCCTGTTCCTGTGTACTTCATATGTCAGGCAGAGCAACTACATAGGAGGCTTGCTTTACCTACTCTACAGGCCCCTAGTTTTTTCTTATGGGTTTTGCTGTAAATCAGTAAGCAGTTCTAGTATATTTTCTCATTACTCTCCATGGCAAATGTCTTTGACTTCAGTGTATTTCAATTGGGTCATCTGTATTACCCACCTGCATGCCAGTGTTTTGGAAAGGAGCCAGTCTTGTCAAATAGCTTTTAAAACACTGAGCTATTGAGTAATAACTTGAGGAATGTAAAGCCAAAAGAATGTTTGAATGTCCCATAACGTCATAGTCAAGCCTCTCTTTCCCTTAGCCTTTACTTCCCTCTCATTTCATAAAGGTCTGTCTTTAAACTCTCCCAGGAAGGAAATTTTTTTCTAAGTTTTGAATATTCCTTTTCTAGTTGAAACAGCCCAACTGGCCACATGGTGGTCACTTCAGCTGTTTTGGAAGCACATTAAATCTTTTGGGATCAGACCTAACTCTCAAGGCATCAGCTAGTTCAGAATAGAATGTATTAAGAAAGCCCACTATGAAATCCTTTTGAAACTCCTCCACCTTGAAATATTTTTGCCTTCAGCTGTATTACTGGCTTGGTTGAAAGCCTCCCACTTCATTTCACCCAATGCAAGGCACTGAAATTTCCACTCACATAGTCCTCCCAGATTAGATTTTAAAAGACATAGCAATATCTACAGACATACTTAAAGCAAAAGTGTAGAAAAGACTGAAAATAAAATGGTATGGCTGGCAATATCAACAAAAGCCATACAGTAGTTTTAGCATGTACAAAGAAGCATAAGATGAATATCTCATGAGGGGCAAAGGATGACATATATTAGTAATGTACAGTGGTACCTTGGTTCACAAGCTTGATTCTTTCCACAATTCTGGTCACAAACTGAGTTAGATGAGAACAGAATCAAATTCAGTGGTTAGGTTCAATGTTGACCTTAAGGGAAAATTTGATTTGGTTCTCATCCAGTTGGTTTGCGACCAGAATGGTGAAGATAATTGCATTTGTGAACCGAGGTACCACTTTAATTTAAAAAGATGATATAATGATGGTTATATAGTTTGAAAATATATAAAGTAATGACTATGAACAGAACTCTGGGAAGAATGCATTAATTTTAGTTGGAGTTTTTAAGATA